TCAGGTAACACAAGTATCCAATAGGTTACTCAATTGAAAATAGCACACCATAATCTCAGTACACTGATTACGCTTGCCAAAATCATTATTAAATCGGAACATGCATTTTTTCAGGTGTTTAACAACTTGTTTAAAAAATCATTTGGATTACTTTTTGATTTGGTCAACAGCAGATATATTTCGAGCATGTCTGCATTGCCTTATTAAGAGTAATGAACGTAGTGAAGTCTCTTATATAGGTCTTGCTGATTTTTTTTTGTTTCTTTTTCAGGAAAAAGTCTTGAAATTTTGATGCACTTAGGTATATTGCACTTTTTGAGTTCAATTGAAATTCATCTGCTGAAAGTGACCATATTGCACTCTCCAAATACGAGCGTGGAAAAAATGGCGCAAAAAACGTGAACTATTTCTAGTTTCGAAAGTGGAAATTAGTTTTTAGATTTCCCAGCGGAATAAAAACTTTACCTATTGATCCAGTTTTCTCAAGTTGGGTTCATATTATCAAAAATTGCTAATCCTAAATTGTTCTAGAAATTCAAAGAGCTTAAAGGGCATCTATTTTTTTCTTTGAAACTCGAAAGTCAGTGTTTTTTTCTGTTTACTTGGGTTCATTACTCGTTTCCAGCTGTGAGTTGTCTGTTTGTGTTGTTTCAGATGAAGGTGAAGGAGAGTGAGAGGATGAAGGCGTTGTGTGAGGAGTGGAAGCGGAGAGACATGGAGAGGGAGTTGGTGTTGAAGCAGAAGATGGCAGACACAGCAGAGATGGAGCACAAACTGCACACAGCCATAGCTCACATTGAGAAGAGGGAGAAACTACTCACTAAAAATGAGGCACAGGTGAGTGAAGTTGATGAGGCACTGGCGGGATACCAAGTTACCAGCTAGTTCCCTTTATAATCAATTCGGAATAAAGACTTGTCGGACAGGGGGTTGCATTAAATGAGCGTATGCTCTTGCAATGTTTTATATCAATTCTCTATAGCAAAAGGTTCAATTGAGTATGCTCGCTTGTCTGTATTTTAAGCGCTTAGCTCAAATTCTCGTCTTTAATGCACGATGATTGGTAAATTTAATTTGCTTTGTAATTACGTTTTTCTTAGGCGATTTTCTCGAAATTTGGGGAGATATGTTTTTTCAAACCATTCTAAAACGGCCCTCGAAAAATGGGTGATATATTACAATAGGTGGTTCGTTCAATTTTAATAGCCAAATCGCTTTTTGTTATAATTCGCACATTATTTATAATTTGTTTCGAAAGCCAAGTTTTTTGGCAAAAGAAGTGTAAATTTTGACTGTTTCATGCATAATAGTTGTGAAATTGAATACATGCTGTATACTCTAAATTAGCACCTTATGTAACATATGAGGGGAGAGTGTTGTGTAAGCGAATGGGAGTATTGTTACGGCGGTGTGTTTAGTTGGAACAGCAGAAGGTGGAGTTGACACGGGAGTGTGAGAAGAAGAACTCTGAGATGAGTGACGCATGTGCCAGGATGGAGAAGGACTGTCTCCACAAGATAGAACTGGAGAAGTAAGTGGCAGTGGTCGTCATTATCTTAATTGTAGTCTCATTTCATCTCTCATTCAAACTATATTTAAGTACAATCGACTCAAATTTTATATGAGCTTCTTCGTACACTGGCCAAACGGGAAGTATTTTAGGCCTGAAAAGTTATCTGGTTCCAAGAGTAACCTTGAGTTTGGACTATGAGAGAAATATGAAAATGATCTCTTGAGGCAAAGCTTAAAAGTATACCAAGTATTTCCTGGAATGTAGCCGAGCTCAATTTACAGAAGCGGCATCAGTGTAACACGTGGCCAAATAAATTCCACCCTTCAGATGTTCTTCTTCTTTAGATCTTTCTTAGATCTTTTTCCGTTACGTTTTTCTGTTTCTATTAGGGAGAAGCGTAAGTTTGTGGAGGAGGAGTTGGCCAAAGTGAAGAGTGAGTTGTTAGGGGCGGAGAGGAGAGTGCGCGAGAAGGAGAGTGAGTTCGAACACTTCAGACAGCAGCTGGATCTCAAGCCAGAAGTCAGGCTTCAAGCACAGATCAACGTCCTCACCTTAGAGAAGGTGAGTGGGTGGGGTGGATGAACACTTCTCCCACAAAAGCGCCTTTTCAGTCTATGAAAATCTTACAGCATTTGAAATCAATCAACTTAATACAAAGATGTTTTTTTGATTTTGAACCATACATTTGAAAAAAAAACAGAAGAGTTGCTGTGACTATCTCGAATGTTTTGAGAAGAGCATCAAAAAGCAAATCGGTTGATTACACTTCTGATCAGCATAAAGTTTTATTATGAACCTTCTTTTTTTCCCTAACCCTACTCGCAAGTAAAAGTGTTCATTAAATGTGTTCACTTATTTGGAAATTTCACTGTAGCGTTGGAAATTGCATATTATTTGTTCTCTGCTTTATTTGTTGTGGCTAGCGTTTGGTGTCTATTGAGCTTCCATGGCTGAGTGGTTAGTGTAAAGTGTGTGAGACTCTTAATCTCTTGGGCGCATCATCGAATCTCAGATGTAGACGAATGTTAACTAATTGGAGGCTTATTTCTAATTTTTATTACTGCACTTTCTAGAGCTGCTTTTTGTGTTCTCGCAAGTGTTTGCGAAGTCAAGCTTCGTCTCAGTGTAATAACTTTGATTGTGTTTTTGTTAGTTTCCACGTTTTTGGGAAAGTAAATATAGAAAATAATCAATAGAGGTAAGCATTGATAACTCATTTAAATTAGAAAGTTTTCGTGTTTGTAGTAATTACGTAATATACGCATTATACTCGATCACCTCTTTCTCTTTCTAGGTGGAACTGGAGCGGAAAGTGGAGGCGCTGTCCTCTAGCAAGACGCACTACAAGCAAGAGTGGGGCAGAGCACTGAAGGAGTTGTTCAAGTTGAAGCAGACTATCCAGACCCAACAGGAGGCGGAGTTGCGGAAGGAGAAGCAGCAGCTGGAACACATGCGACTGGTCCACATGGCGGCCGAGGAGAGGAAGTTGGCCAGCAAGGAGAAGGACGAAATAGAGGAGCTCAAACTGGAAATCACAAAGTAGGTTCTGAACTGAAGCAGTCAATACTATTGTTCCTAGATGATTTTTTTGTAATGAGTTGTGAAAATAGTAATCGAGTCAGTCTGTTCCCTTCTTGAAAACGAATTTATTATGGTGATTATTATATCAAGCCAATTAAAAGACTTTCGTTTCAATAATTGGCTTTAAAAGGCTGAAACAAAAGATTACATCCACATAACATCTTCAGAGTACACTTCATTTTTCAGTGCGTTGACGCGATGTTTCTGACTAGAGAATCAATCTAGGATCCGTGGCGATTTTTCTCAAGTTTCTGATTGTCGATGCTTAAAGCTAGGAAGCGATAAGAAGCTAAATTTTCCAAGCAGGAAAAATATCAAACCTCATTTAATACAGGGCGGAATTTTACAAATTAATCAACAACCTCGTTTCAAATTAAATGAGACTTATTGTTTATTGAAGAATGTGTGTTTAAAATCGATTTTGCCTCTGAATACTTTTTGACATTTTGACACAATTGTCCAATTTTTTTTTTTTATGTTGGTTTATAAAGGTTTCATGTTTGACCTTGACGTTTTATGCTAAACTATGTGCTAACTGCAGTTGTTCTTAATGCAAATTTATCTGGGATTAAATGCTAATTGATCTTCTAAACATTTCAACTGTTGTTTACGTTAAACCTCAAATCTCCCAGGGATCCGTTGTTGTTATTGCCCAGGAACTTGGCTCCGTTTTCCTGACTTAAAGCCGAATGCAACTAATAGTACCAATGTAAACGTCTTCATTTCTTGGTGGTATGCTACGTTTGATATGCTTTTCAGTGTTTTGCAGTTTACTAGAAATAGCTCATACAAAATGTACGTGTATTTACATGCATATTAACTGTTTAGATTGAAAGACATGCAATCTAGTGGCAAGTCAGGCAAAGGAGGTCAAATGGACTCAGCAGGTGACGGTGCACCTGACTTTTTTAACCAATCAAATGACGAGTTGGAGAGCCACGTGACCAGACTGATAGAGGAGCGAGACACTCTGCTGCGAACAGGCGTGTACAACTCATCCGACAAAATCATAGCCGACTTAGACAAACAGATTCGTGATGCCATTGCTGCTAAAGTGTCATGATCAGAACAACCTCAGCTCCAAGACTCTGGTCGAAACAGTTTCTGGAAACAATGCCTTATAAAGGAATCCAAAACCAAGAATTGAATTCTTCTGGGAATATTTGAGAGGATTGGCTTTGAAGTTTGGAGTCTTCTAGTTGTGTATTATATGTACAGTCTTGCAAACTAACTCCTTGTTCTTGCCTTTCGAAGCTTTCCCAAAACTAACAACTCTTAGCTTTCTTGAAGTTTACACCTCTAGTGCCTCGCAGAACCTAATTGAGTGAAGTTTGCCAAAGGTAGACTCTTATTTTACTAGTTTTGCTCTAATGTTTTACGGTCTCTCTCTAGTGTAAATTTTGTACAGATTTAGTTTGGATTTTGTATTTCTACCTGCTGTTAGTTTTCTTTCTTGACTTAATTGAACTACTTCTCTGGATCGCTTTTTACCAACCACTATCTGAGGAGAAAATTCACCCTGATTTGTTAGACTGGCTGCGAAAGCAAATTGATATAATTCACTCAACTGATTGAAAAATAAATGTGCTTAAGTTCACAAGTTTTTACACTCGCAACAATTGCTATCATTTGAAAACACCCAAATTTTCATTCCTTTCATATTTTTATTAAGGCGCAAGCTACCAAATTTTGAATAATTTAAAGAACAGCTCTAGAACTTTTGTTTGTGTAAACTAGGACACGAGTTTGCTGCATTCAAAATAGCCTCTCAAAATAAGCAATATAAAATCAAGAAGTTTTTCATATTTGAGCAAAAGGACGATATATTGAAAACCGATTGAACTTATCTGACAAATTGTTTCAGATAAAAATCGATTTATTTTACTTGAAATCTGTACTGTATTTGTTTATTCATCTGACTGGCATCATGGATCCCTTTTATTCAGACGGGTCTCAGGGCGTCTCATTAATGCACTCATCCTCATCCCCTCGAAAATCGGAGAAGAAGAAAAAGTGCTGCTGCGACTGCGAATCGCGCAGTATCCAGACTTACATCATGATAATAGCCAATGCTTTCTTCCTATTGGCTGGTATTCTTCTAATTGTGGTTGGATGTCTCTCATTGGCGCATAGAGATTACTATGGAAACTTCCTATCGGGAGCTACATATGGATTCGTGACTTGGACTCTCGTGTTTGTGGGCGTTTTCGTGGTTATCGTGTCACTGTTTGGCCTGTATGCTGCATTTAAAGAGGGAAAACTTCTGCTTAAAGTAAGAATAAATAGAAAAACGACTGCTAGCATCAGGGCAAAGCCCCGAATGTTCTTGACTGCCTATCAACTGGTCTCGACTAGTCTTACGTTAATGAAATATTGATCATGGATGAATTTTAGGCTAATAGTATCAAATTTCAAGTGCTAGAATATGAGTCGTGTATGAAATTAACAAGACTGTTCGTATCAGGGCGAAGTCCTGAATGTTCCGACTCCCTTTTAAGGTCTATGAAGCAGTTTTCGCTAAAAAATGATGACTCATCCTTCCAAGCGCCATATAAAATACAAAGTGCTAGATTTCGCTCCTAGTACTGTTGCACTTAGGACAAACAGCCTATAAATGAACCTGGAGTTTTCTGGGAAAAAATGTTTTGTCGGCCTTTTGATTTTCTCCTGTAATTTAAAGTTTACTCAGTCTGGATTCTCGTATTTCCTTTTTTTCAGTTGAAAGTTTCATTCTGTCTTAATGGTTTTTGCTTGTTGTATCGGCTAACTATTTTGTATCATTTGAAAAATAAAAATTGGTTTTTTAAATTGATTCTTAGGTAGGTTGTGGTGTAAAAATTCAAAGTTTTATAACTTAATCGCTCAGTCTTTAAAGACAACTTTTTTGTTTCTTTTTCTGCTTTTGACAATTTTTTGACTTAGTTGTTTGTCTCTGTTCGCTGGCTTGCAATGCTATGCTTTTATTGTATCCCAAGGGATGCGAAGCTCCGCCTATGTGTAAAAAAATTCCGTCAAACTTTCTAGTTGAAAAGTTGAAATTTGTTTGGAGAAAAAACCACCCCGAGCACAAATATTCTGTTATATTCTTCGAAAGTCGGAACAATAAGACCAATTAGCTTGCCTCAATTGAATTTGGAACGATTTTGTAGTGCGGGATAAGTCGCCATGCGTAAATAATGCGCGTGACATTTTCAGCATCAAGCTATAAAACGAGCAGCTCAGCGAGGATCGTGTCATGATAATGTAGTGGTGTGCAATGCTAGTGTGGTCGCCTCCAGTTTGTTATATTCCCGATTATTACTTGCAAAATTGAATCTTTGTTTTTGGTGCCTCTTTTGCTGGAGCGTAATGGCAATTTATTAGCATATGTAGCTGCTTTATTCATGACTAGTGTTTGCCGGTTGTTAAGCTTGCGTAGCTGAAGAGACAGTGCGTGAGACTCAGAATCAGTAGGTTGATTGCAGTAGGTAGAAGACGTTGATTGCATTAGGTAGCAGATTCCGAGTTAATTCGAGGCTTATTTCAACTTTTTCTAATTTCCTTTGATAGAGCAGCTTTTTTTTATCATGTTCTCGCAAATTTTTGCGAAGCGCAGATTCGCCTCTGTGTAAAATTTTCAAAGCGCACATAATTTAGTCCAGAATTTTGCCCAAGTGGCATTTTTCTAACCCCCAGAGCTTTACCAAAAATCATTGCATGTGAAAGTCGGAACAAAAGGTTTCATCCTTCTTAGTAAAACGTAATCGTTGCTGTCTAAGTTGAGGAGTTATCATAACTAATCTTTGAGTGATATAAGGCACTCGTGGTTTTCGACTAACGAGCACTATGATAGACTGGTCCCTTGAAAGTTACCAGATCTCTTGAGAAAAAGACACCTAGAGCTCGTAAATCGTTAAATGATTATCATTTGGCTCTTCAGAAAAATGTCCCCGTATATTTTAGATTTTATGTGTCGAAAGGTACCTTGATTGAATTTCGTTTTGTGTCGAATTTTGAGAGCATCATTTTTTAGTGCATGGATTTGAAAGGGAAGCTTCAACTCAGTTGAAGATCTAGAAGCTCGTACTGACTGCATCAGTTATTCATGCTTGTACCTATTTTTGTTATCATAGTGTTGTGATTTGTTTTTGGTTTTTTATAATGACCTTCGGTATTTTAATTAATACCAGTTTAGTTACGACCATCGGTCGATATGAACGGAAGTTCAGTGGTCCTTTTTAAACGTCTTAATTCAACTACTTCCTTTTAACGTTTTAACACTTAAGCTTATGTACATACATTGTACATAGACACTAGAATTAGAATAGTTTATTATGGCGCAGTCAAATGATTCGAACGTGCGTGGAATTCCCCCTTTTGGCCTAATCACACTCTAGAGCCACCGCATGCCTGGACCCAATGGAGCGACCAATTCCAATTGGCGATCATTGCAAAAGAAAATATGGATTTAGAGAGCCTACATGGACCAGAGATACCGGAGACCCAAATTCCAATTTTGGAACAGGCGACAGGCAGCGAGTCGGACGCGGAAAAAGCCAACAGAGAGAGCAGGAACAAAAGCACAATGAAACAGTACGAATCCGCAGAAGAGAAACGGATCAACGAAGAGAAAAGAAAATTTAATGGAATGAGACGAACGGAGGCGGACAAGAAACTGCGATCAATTTTATTTTTAGCCCTAGGGAGCGAAGGAAAAAGAGTTTTTACGCAAAAGAACCCGAGAGTCAAGATTTTAGCAATATCGTTCTCTGAGTTCTGGACTCTACTAGACGCAGCATTTAACAAACCGCCCAATACTACGTTCGAAAGATATAAACTTCTAAATCGAAAACAAAAAGATCGTGAGTCGTACGAACAATTCTGGGGAGCACTGACGGACCTAGCCAGCACGTGCAACGTCAAGGAATCCGACGAGGCAGAATGGATAAGGGATATCTTCATTTGCAATATGAAGAACACAGACACCCAGAGGAAGCTACTTTCAGCTACCATAAGCCCGTCGGAAGCACTTAATCAAGCCCTAATCGATGAAAAGGGATATTTTAACCACCAGAAACTGACAAATATGTCACGGTCATCGACCAACGGGACAACTTTTAAATCGTTTAGTAACCACAATCATATCAAAAAAGAACCAAGCTTAAACATCGAAAGGAGTAACTCATGCATGAAATGCGGAAATACATTTACGAAAGGGCACTTAAATGTTTGCCCAGCGAAGGACATAACCTGTAAAAACTGCAACTATAAAGGACACTTCGCCAAATTATGTAAATCACGCAATAAGAGACCAACTGTAAATAATGTATCAAATAATTTCGTAAATACTGAGAATTGTACATACACTCCTACGGAAAACTCGTGGATGGAAGAAAAAGAATCGTGCGACGTGATAAATGCGTGGAATGAGTACGGACAGAGTGACGATGACGACTTCTCGGTGTTGAGTGTCAGAACTATTTACGACAATAATGGTCTTGAAACAAAGAAACTCCTGAACCTAGGCATTGGCTGGGACATGATTGTAAATATGAACATACCGGTAGATTCAGCAAGTCCTGTAAGCTTTTTAAAACATAATGTTCTACATGAAATTAAACTAAGATACCCAAACCTCAAGATACACCCAGTGGAGAAAAGAATAAAAGACCTATACTGCGGATTCACCAACGATACGATCAATATCTTGGGAAAAATAATTGTCAGAACAAAGTCCAATGGGTGGATCAGCGAAGAAACCCCATTCTTCATAACCGGCGGACACGAGCGTAACATATTGGGGAGCGACAATTTACACAAACTGGGCATAGAAATTTCGCAGAGGAAATGCCCGCAACCAATCTGCATGGTCAATCAACCCACACCTGAGAGTGAGTACAAAAACTTACCTTCTTTATCAGACAACATTTTTAATGAGTTTAAGAACTTATTCACTAGAGTGGGGAAAATACCTAACGATCGGAAGGTAACCCATTTTCACACACCTTTTAAACCAATACAGTCCAAAGGGAGAAGAGTACCACTCCATTTACTCGCGGCAGTGAACGATGAATTAAAAAGAATGGAAAAAGAAGGTCACATAATAAAATTAGAGAAATGCGACCAATTGTAATCACTCGGAAAAAGGATACTTCAATAAAACTGGCACTGGATTCCAAGCTTTTAAATGATCAAATTTTTAAAAATAAGTATCAAATGCCGAATATCCATGAACTGATTGATAACGTGGCACTCCAAATTTCAGAAAAACCCAACGGGCGAGTGTGGTTTAGTAACTTAGACCTGAAAAACGCATATAGCCAACTTCAACTTTGCAATCAAACCAGTAAACAGTGCAATTTTAGCATAGTAGGCGGCGAAACGACTGGAACGTATCGGTTTCTAACGGGATTTTACGGATTAGGAGACATGCCCAATGAATTCCAACGGGTCATGGACTCAATGTTGAAAAATATCCCGTTTACAAATTGTTACATAGACGACATCCTGGTAGCCTCGCGTGGATCGCTGGAAGAACATAAAGCAATAGTGCACAAAATTTTATCAATCTTAGATAAGAACAACATGGCAGTGAAATGGGGGAAATGTGCATTTTTTAAATCCGACATCGAATGGCTTGGCTTCAAGATCTCAGGCAATGGAGTACGACCGTTGGTCGGTAAAGCCGACGCAATAAAAAATTTGCCAACCCCGAAGAATATTTCTGAACTTCGCTCATTTTTCGGCTCAATAAACCAATATGTAAAATTCGTCCCTAATTTATCCACGTTAAGCTCCCCTCTTCGACCTCTTCTAAACAAAAAATCGCTATACAAATGGGATACCAGCCATTCAATAGCGTTTGAGAAGTTAAAAACCGAAATTGTAAATATTGCAGAAAACAGCCACTTTGATATAAAAGAGAAGACAAGACTAAAAACGGACGCTTCACATAGCAGACTAGGGGCTACCCTAGAACAATTACAGGACGACCAGTGGAAAACAATCGCATTTGCATTCAGATTTTTAAACAACCATGAAATGAAAAATTCTACCAACGAACTAGAGTTGCTGGGAGTCGTATGGGCTGCAGAACATTTCAGAAACTACCTGTACGGAACAGAATTCTAAATAGTCACTGACCATAAAGCATTACTATCAGCACTTTCGGCAAATCATGGCAATGAAACGATGCACAGTCGATTGACCCGCTGGGTAAACAGACTCTTACCTTTCAATTTTAAAATTTCACATTTACCAGGAAAGGACATGGGCTTTACCGACCTTTTATCTAGACTTCATTCGGGCAAAGCCCTTCCAATTTCACATTATGACGGTGAATTTGTAGTCGCTTCAATCGACAGAATTCAGAACATTTTGTCGACTAAAATAGATTCTAAATTACTTACTGTAAATTTGGTAGATAGACCAACGGTCGCTGTAAATACTAATTCACGAGTTAATACAATCCCATCGGGAAACGAAAATTCAAGCGACGTGATTGGTCAGAATCAGCTGAATAGCTCGTTAGCTTTACTCAATCTCAAGATTATTGCTGCTATCATATCTTGTATCGCTCAGTCGATAAAAATTTGCCACAATAATCATTCTCGGACAGAAAATTGTACTACAAATTGCCAACCAGTCGATAATTCAAAATTTAATTTTAAAAGTATTACTTTTTCGGACAAAGTCCTTTTACATTTTTTACTTCTAAACAGACACCTCATACCACCTAACAAGAAAAAACAAGAACTCCCAATGGACAAAGTGATCGAACCCCTTTTGATTATCCCCGAAGAACATAATATTGCTCTCAAATTCAGAGACGACAGACTTCCACCAGACCACGCAGATCTCTTAAGAAGATATAAGGCCGATCTGAATTTGCCGAATTCCCCAATTCGCCCAGAGAACCACTGTTCGAAGAAATTGCTGCAGATCATGACGAGAGAAGACAAGGTGCTGTGGGATCTGATAGAGACGATAAAGCGGAATCGACCGATGGGCATACACGGGACTTACATGAAGAACTACACTAAAGACTTACACGTGAAGGATGAACTACTCTTTTTAGACAACAAACTATTCGTCCCAGCTACCATCAGGGGAACTTTTAATTCTATGTTACACGAGACTCACCCAGGACAGTTCGGGATGAAATCCCTCGCAGAATATTTGTGGTGGCCACATATTTACCGGGAAATCTACCATCACGGGAGAACATGTACCCAATGTTTAAAAGCGGGTAAGAACATTAAAGTGATACTAGGCACCAATAATATTTCGAAACTCCCGACGTTGACATTCGCGAACGAAGAAATCAATTTGGATTTTGCGGGACCGTTGGACGCTAGTTGGGGTAACAACAAATAGATTCTTCTTTGTATCGACCGCTACACTAAGTTTCCTTCGGCCAAGATTGTCAATAACACCTCTACAAGAAACGTAATTTCATTCCTAAACGATTACTGTCATCTTCACGGATTCCCAAGAAAAATTAGAGTCGACCATGGGTCATGCTTTCTTTCACACGATTTCAAAAACTTCTGCGATAAATTTAATATAGAAATCATTTACTGTACGGTCGGAGGCCACAGATCCAACGGGCTAGTGGAAAGACTTGTGCACACAATTAAATCGAAATTACTGGCAATGTCATTCGAAATACCCAAACCATCTCTAAACGATTCGATCGAGAAAATCATCTGGAATCTGAGAATCTCAAAGCAAACGGCGATCGGCTGTTCCCCGTTTGAAAAGCATTTTAATAGAGTAGCGAACACTAGGTGGAAAAATCTCATGTCCAATATTGAACATTTAGATAAAGGAAAGGCTATATTGTCCAAAGAGCGGGCTACTAACTGGGAACTACACGACGGGGCAGAAGATGGCTATCTGGACGAGGAAAGGGACAGCACGTCGGACCCAGAAGAAAACTTGCCATTAGCTAGGACGTTCAGCCTACGCACAACCCCGGACGACACTACCCGAACGTTAGATCCACTGGGAAAAAGAAAAGCAGTAACGGGAGGTAACTTATATAGAAAGGTGTCTAACAGAAAAAATGGGGACCCTTATTTTAATCTAGTTAAGAAGGATATAATCGATTCTTCAGAGCACACAGTTACCCTCGACAATGGTCACGTTTTACGTAAATCGGATCTGGCTATAAAAGGAAAAATACTCCCGGGGCCCAAAAAGATAATAGTGAATCGGACACCCTCTGGGCATAATACTCATATTCATTCGAGTTTAGCTGGGAAAAGGAAACTCTCTCCACCGAAGAAAGCTGGAACGATATCAGCTGGCCACTCGAGACAAGGCACCCCGAGAACGGAGATTATCAGTTCAGGGACTAGCGCACCGACTGCGAGCTCGGCCACTAAAGACTCTCCTAAACTTTCTTCAGGTTCATCTTCCTTAAATCTAGATTCGTGGGACGGGATAATCGAGGATTACTTTGACGATGTGACCAATAACAACGTACCTCAAAACCCCTACACCGAGACTAATCAGGGCTTAAGTATTACAGGTCATGCCGAAACCCCACCATTGAGCTCAGAAGGGACAGCAAACAACGACTCACGGGAGATTGTAGTCATACACGACGCGAATACTAGTGAAGGATCACAGGACAATCCTATTATGATAGACAGTATTCCGGAACAGACGATCAGTGTGACTCCAAAGACCAGAAACTCCAGACCACGTAGAAATGTGGGCCCCCCACAGTTTTACGGAAATCGACGATTTATAGACGTGGTGCAAGAGAAAGACGACCTAGGGGCGATAACTTCGGTATTCTCGCAGGCACCGGAATTGTCTACTTTCTCGGTCAACTCTCCTTCGGATCTTTTGACTCCATTAGCGGAGGCACCCCCGAGACAGATCTTAGTCGCAGAAACTACTTTGTCATGGTCTTCAAGAAACTCCCTCCCGACGGGCAGACTTGCAGCATCAACCACGAAGACCCAACTCCTCGAAAATTCTTCGAACTCAAAATTATCTGACCCGACCTCGAAAGACCCTTCATTAGAGATGGATAACTACAGCGAGATCTCATCAACTATAGATTCAGATGTGAGAGCTAAACTGGATGAGTTCGAGGACCAATTCTTATAATCGTCATATCAAATCAAACTTATCAAAACAATTTTTGTAATCCATATTTTCGCCGGACTTTTTAATTTCACCTGTAGATACAATTGTACATGTTAATGTACATGTTGTGGATTAGTTTTATTTAGTTAGTTACCGTATTCTGTAAAAAATTGTAATTCTGTATAGACACCCTGTACATTGCTACATTCTCTTTCAATTTGTGGATTTTATTTTGCCGCTGTATATTTACCCTCTGGGCGCAGTTTGTAAAATTTCTTCCATCTTCTGAGGGGGAAAAAGGGTGTATATAGAGTTATATAGTTAGTTTGCAGTTTCATTTTTTTTCCCGGTGGGAAATGTTGTGATTTGTTTTTAGTTTGTTATAATGACCTTCGGTATTTTAATTAATACCAGTTTAGTTACGACCATCGGTCGATATGAACGGAAGTTCAGTGGTCCTTTTTAAACGTCTTAATTCAACTACTTCCTTTTAACGTTTTAACACTTAAGCTTATGTACATACATTGTACATAGACACTAGAATTAGAATAGTTTATTACATAGAATCCTTTTTTAATTTATGTTTGTTCAGGTTGTTTTGAAACACTTAGTTTATTGCATTGTGAATGTGTTGGGTAGGATCTCGAGAAATGTTGCGGTCTTTAAAAATCTTTTCTTTGGTCATTTTTGAAGACGAGATTAATATGGCAAATTTGTAACTTCGCCCGATCTCGGTGACCGAAATTAGTGGCAGCCCAGATAGCGCAGAGTCTCAAGCTACCACCTGACAAAAATCAAAAAATACTGAAATTTGTCACTGTCCCGATAATTTGATTTGTTCTTCAAAACATTGACACACTACAAAATTTGAGATTTTAACGTACACAGCTGTTCGCTATTTTCTGAATTGCCACCTAACTCAAAAATATGCATTCATTTCTTGTTTAGGGGTCCAAAGGCAATTGTACCCTGAGCAAGAAATATGCGCATGCTTCTAAGTTTGGTCAGTACCTAAATGAAAACTTAGCGAAAGATTTCAGATGCGCAAAATTTTCGAAGTCACTATAGTTTTGTGGTCATCTCAAGATTCGAAATAAATGTCTCGGGTAGAGAGGCAAAGAGTTTACCAGTAATCCACTAGTAGAGATAGTAAAACTTCAATAAATTTTATATGAAGAAAAATTTTTCAATGCTGAGATGAAGCAAACAAAAATTCCTGGCAGTTTTGAACTTCGGTATGCACCTTTTTTTCGTCCGATGGGTGATGAATCTCTAAGCTTCTGTATGTTTCTGTCACGAGTTCCAAAACAATTTGGACGTCTTTATAAAAATGCGGTAAGTTCATGTCCCGGCTTTGTCTCGTCAGGATTAAACCGCATTTGTATCTCGACCCTTACTCAAATTGACATCAAATATTTTATGCGATTAAAAATGCATTTTTGAGGCACAACTCATCATATTACCAAGTCATTTGCACCGACAAGATTGCATGAAATTTTTTTAAACGTATATCTGAGTTTTTGCTTTTCTATTGAAGTGGTTAGTTTTATTTGTTGACATATGTGTTTAGATATACGCAGTGTTGGTGGGTGTGGTGATCGCAATTGAGTTGTCAGTGGTGATAGTGGCACTAGTGTACAGGGGGAAGACCTACAGGAAACTGGAGTCCCACTTCAACAGCACAATAGTCAACCAGTACGGGTCAAATGGTGACGTCACCAAAGCACTGGACCAGCTGTGAGTAGTTGTTCAAAACAAGTCAATTGTATTGATGATGCTCTAAAAATTTAGCTAATTTGATGAAATTTTTCAATCTTCATCGGACAAATATGACAAATCCTACAGTAGGAAGTTTTGCCGCTAAAGATTTCAAAAAGTTTTAATACGAGTGATTTTAATAATTTCTCCCTTATAGTTTTTCAGGTTCCCTAAATTCAATTTTCATTAGTATTTTTAAGCTACTCACATTATAAATTTCTCTAGTTTCCTCGGACTCAACTCACATTAACGGATTCGCATGAGAATCAGTCGTTTTATTCCAAAGGTTTGTCTGGTCCATCTATATGCAGCTTTAATGATATGATCTCTGGTGCGATCTCTGGTGGTACACAAAGGTAAAGACAATCAATAACAAGGCTGCTGTTTTTTGTTTCAGACACCAAGACCACCAGTGCTGCGGCGTGAACTCATTCATGGACTGGCAGTATTCCTCCTGGGTTCAGAACCAGAACAGAGGCAAATCAGCCGACGACGGGGACGAGATGTTTGTTCACGTGCCCGACTCGTGCTGCAAGACAGTGTTGGACAATTGCGGGACTATGAGTCACCCTAACAACCTGCACAATCAAGGCTGTTTCAAACAAGTGGCCGATTTCTTCGCCAGGAATCTCTTAGTGCTGTCTTTGTGTGCGATATGTGTGATACTTTTGCAAGTAATGGCTTTAGTTTCGGCACTGGTTCTACTTAAACGAGTTCGCAAACAAGTCGTGTGGCAGTGGTATTAATAAAAGTCTCTAAAATTACAGATAGTGATAGCAAGTTTCAGTGCCTTGTTTGCGCGTCAAAGACGGTTTAAAGTGATAACTATACTATTTTTTGTCAAATATATTTCAGAACTTGCGAAAGCAAGTGTTTTGAAATCGTTTTGGAGACTTTTCCGGTTAACATCTTTGTCTACGCGCGTACTTAAACAGGTGACAATAGTAACAAGTTGTTAGGCACCACTTAACCAGAAGCGTTGAGCAAGGAATAGATAGGATTGATGTGCGAGCTAGAAATTTATATTTTATACTTAAAATTTTGATAAATTTTTATCTCGTTCAATCAAAATTAATTTTTCCTGTAATGAGTTATGGAAAGTAATAACGTTCTTCTTCGCGTGGATATCAATTTTCGAAATTTTGCTGAAATTGTTATTTTTTAATGCAATTTTTCAAACCTTGCAATCGATTCAGGCTACTAGTCAGGAAATCTTTTTAAGAAATTATTACAAGCGGAGTGTAGTGTCATTTGACGATCTCCTTTTTTTCAAACCATTAGGCTAATAAAAGTGTGCATTTTTTTGACTGCATTTTTGAAGCAATACCATATCTGGTTTACTTACTACAAAGCATTAACCCTTCGCATCTGTTTTATTGGTGGCTAGTGTTTTCTAAATTGACAAGCGCGCATAGTGCAGATGATAGGTTAATTTTTAATCACAAGGTCAGGAATTTGATTCCGACAAATTGCAGACCTTTCATTAGTTTTAACTTTTCTTTCCTATTTTTAACTTTTCGACTATTTCAGATCTACTCTTTGCAGTTTCTTTGCTTGTCCTAGAAATTGCAGCCTCGTCTCTGTGAAAATAATTTTTCCTATATGAAAGCAAGTTCGGGCACAATCACAATTTTCGTTTTCGGGAGTATCCTCATAAGTAGTTCATCGTTTTTCTTTCAAGGACTTTTTGGGCGATTGAAAATTGGCATATCCAATTTCATGTAAATTTTGAAATTAAAAAATCGATTTGTCCTTTATCAAAATTGACATATTATAAAATCCGAAGTTTGTATATTTTTATCCTTATTGGAAAGATAGATGATATAATGAAAGCTGGAATGAAACATTCTTGGACTTCGATGCGATCAGACGATTGTCGAGAAAAGTTTGTGCTGACGCAAAAATTAATTTTTTCCTCGCAAGTTTTGTGTTAATCACAATAAGTTCGATCAAAGAACTCCAGGGTTATTCAAGGAATTTAGCTGCACGGATATGGCAGCCCTCTGCTCGCAGACCTACTGTTGTCTCGACGAGCAAAAAAAACATTAAAACTTAATTCGAAAATAATAAATCAGTCAGCTATCGTCAGTAGTTTAGTAAAAGTGGCTAGGAAAATGACCACTTTTAACCCCCCCATTTTTCGGTGTGCCGTTGTACTTACGACTTTTAACCCCCGAAGTGTTTAAAGACCCTACTTGTTCGGGCACGCATGTTTTAAGGGGGGTTAAAATTGGTAATTTTCCAGCCACTTTATGGAAACGGGAATGGAATTAAGTTTTGGTTGGTGCATGTTTTCCCTTCTAAAGTTTGGGGGTATGGGCTTGTTTACATGTAAAATGACGTTATATACCTATTGTATACAACCAAACTATATGGTATATAGGAAAGCACAAGATTTTGGCAGCGTAGCTTAAGTGTTGGCTGCGGTGAACGATTTCTTCAAAAATGCATGTTTTATTGCTCAATCTCGAAGAAAGGAAAATTCGTCAAGTGCGGCGGCCGCAACCTCTATTTAGGCAAAAATGAATGATCCATTTGAACAAAATAAGAATGACTTACCCGAATTTAGAGATCTCTGAAAACTCAAAAAATTTTGTTTCCACCGAGATTGCACCAGTTTGGGGGTTTATTATTTAGTTTGATAAGCTTTTTAAAGTTTTTGTGGCTGAAGCTTTGTTTATGTTTTGTTTCTGATTTTTTTTCTAATTTAAAATTTGCTTTGTAATTTTTTTCAGAAATCTTTGAAAGAATAAAACTAAACAAAAAGAAATAAATGCTGGTATCAAAAACTATCCTCTGGTTTCGACCAATAGTAGGTGATCAACTTAGCTAATGAACGTTTGCTTGTAAGTGCAACACTTAACATGTTATTTCTGTTCAAAACCGAAACCAGAAAGTATCCAAATTTTTGTTTCATAAAAATTGTCACAAAATGTTTTCTTGAACTGCAACTTTTTCTCATACTGTTGCTATAATAGTATTACGGCTGATGAAACCCGGAGTGCCTTGATACAAGGCTTTTTGAAATGTATTTTTCGAGATAATCGAAATTCGTTGAAAATCATCGTTGGCTAAGTGTCGTTCACTATGAAGGCGTGCTCAGAAATGGTTGAAACCAATTTTTTTAGACTCAGCGGGGTCGAAAACTAAGCGTAGCCGCCGTTTTCGAGTCTAGGCGGCCACGTTTGAAAAGACATTTGGTGGTTTTTGAAAGGACTGCAAATCCACTCAGCCAATGGTCCTCAACACCCTGCAGTGGAAACCATCTAAAAGTAAAAGCTGAAACACTGCAAAGCACCCAACAGATACTGAATCAGTGAACATATACGCTGAATGAATTTAATAAAACCAAAAAAAAATAACAAAATTAAATTGACCTGTTTGGTTTTTTCGATTTTCAGGGTTAACCCTCCGAAAGGGATTTTGACTCTAAGTATGATGGCATCTAAAACAAGCAAATTAACATTTTAAATCACATGAAATTGTTTATCAAATAAAAACTTTTGGAACAGCAGGTTTCGAAAGGTGATAATTGTGCTAAATTTTTCCTAAATTTTCCCCGAGTTTAAAATACGCTTATCACGAAAACACAGACAGTAAATTGTACTTTTAGCTGCGTGTTATTTTCAACCAGTTTAGAAACAAAAACTTGTAAAAACATTTGATTTGTCGAATGCTACTTCTGAAAATTGATTTGACTTCTTGTTTGACTTTGTCACTAAGCTGATTGTAAGAAAAAATAAAGCGCAGACTGAAAAATTATGTTTATTAAAATGTTAAAAATATATGAAAAAGGCTGATGGTCTAATTAAATGCATATCACCGAGTTGTAGATATCAGCTGTTGGTATCTAACAGGTTACTTTTATTTCCACTGTTTTGAAATTCAGCAGGCTCAAAGAGTGTTGGAAAAAATGAAATTGGAAAAACGTAGAGTTACCTTCACGGCTAGCAATCTCTGAACTCCATTCACTCACTGATAGGGAGCACTTGGATATGGCAGAAAACCTGATCAGGGGGGCATTGCCAGTGTGTTTGAAAAAAGACTTGTTTCTACCAACAATAATAAATTTGTTAAAAATTACGACCCTAAACAGCCTAACACTTTCCTCTTTATGATAGACGCGAACAATTTATGTGGCGGGATTATGGAGAAATTTCCTCTTCCACTTCACTCATTTGAGTTTAATGACCAAGTTACTATAGCCGAAATTCTCAACACGAGCAGAGAATCCGAAATTGGATACATTTTGGACGTCGATCTTTTAAACCCCGATCATTTGCACGATGCACAATCGGATTACCCAACAAAAGAAGTTGTGTCCAAAATGTGGCTCAGTGAGCTTCAATTGGACATGTTGAAAAAAATGAACCTTTCGGATAAAGTGGGCACTACGCCAAAGCTCATACAAAACTTTTTCCAAAGAAAAACTATACTGTACACTACCTAACACTTCAGCATATGTCAAACTTGGTTTGAAAATTGAAAAAGTAAATCGAGTACTGCAGTTTGCACAAGAAATTTTTTTGCACCATATGTTCAGTTGAACACTGAGCTCCGAAAAAAAGCTGCTATCAAGTTTGAGCAAGATTTCTTCAAGCAAATTATAAATAGTGCGTTTGGAAAATTCTGCGAATCAAAAAGGAATCGACTTATTGTAGATATTGCTCGCAATGCCGAACTGCAATATTTATCAAGGAAAAAAAAGGTTAAGTAGTATTGTAATCCGGCGTAATACAAAGACCCCTCTCTTAGGACACCCGACAGACAAAAATACTTTGGTTTTTATTCTCGCGCTGTGGTTAAATTTAATCCCTTCCAAACTTTCCCACTGTTCATTTAAATAAGTTTGAGACCTCAACAAAAAACTGACCTGCTTGAGAAGGACGTGACAAATAATAGATTAAGTAACATATAAAAAAAAGAAAGAAATAAAATAAAAACGGAATGTTGACAGGAGTACGGATAGGAGAGCAGAGGAAGGGTTTACGGCCACATCCGCATGTCGTCTTCGGGATCCGACCAAGGGACCTGAAGAATACTGACTAAACGCTCCATTTGAAATCTGAAGCGCCACTTAGTACTCTCGAATCCCGCAGCCAGAGACTCGAACAGCCAGAAATTCTCCATGCTCACCACATCAACAGATACATATTCAAATATGCCCTCCTTTTTCTCAAAAGCAACCTTAATGTAATGCAGCTTAAAATTCGCTGCAGTGGTGGCCGGGTTAAACTCCACGGTCACACCAAAGATACTCTTGCCTTCGTGAGTTCCAGGTCCCACATAAGACAAATCAATGGGTGACTCGTGGAGACCAGCAAAGGAAACATCCATCTAAACACATGAAAACCAGTGAAAGTCCCACTGCACCAACCTTAGTAACTGAGACGCCACCTATCAATGCTTGCTATGCGCCGAAAAAATGCAAACTGCAATTTAGAGATCTCTGAAAACTCAAAAAATTTTGTTTCCACCGAGATTGCACCAGTTTGGGGGTTTATTATTTAGTTTGATAAGCTTTTTAAAATTTTTGTGGCTGAAGCTTTGTTTATGTTTTGTTTCTGATTTTTTTTCTAATTTAAAATTTGCTTTGTAATTTTTTTCAGAAATCTTTGAAAGAATAAAACTAAACAAAAAGAAATAAATGCTGGTATCAAAAACTATCCTCTGGTTTCGACCAATAGTAGGTGATCAACTTAGCTAATGAACGTTTGCTTGTAAGTGCAACACTTAACATGTTATTTCTGTTCAAAACCGAAACCAGAAAGTATCCAAATTTTTTTTTCAAAAAATTGTCACAAAATGTTTTCTTGAACTGCAACTTTGTCTCATACTGTTG